CCCAAGCCTCTCATCCAGCCTCTGGGCCACCTCTTGAGTCTTCCCACATTTTGGATTCCTGCTTGTTGGCTGTTCCAGCTTGAGTTTTACCAGCAGCTGTGCACATGTGCCCCGAAAGAGTGAGCTAGCCCAGTAAATACAGAATGTGGGGAGAGGCAGAGCAGATGTGCACTCAGACCCAGGGCTTGGCCACACCAGCACTGACCAGCAGCCTCCTGTTCTCCCCTCTATTTCCCCGTGCTTGTTCCTCACCTCCAGCCCTCTTCCTGTTCTGCTGAACGTCCCATAACAAGTGCTGCATATCCCCACAACCCCTCCCTCAAGCTTCCTGCAGCCACTTGGCCCTTTCCTGAAAGAGATGTGCTGAGACAGCCCCTCATAATCCCCATTTCTTCTGCACACTAGTTGCCAGATCTGGTCACACTCCTCTAATGTGGGGATTCCTTTGTGTGATTGCTTTTGGTGACTCTTTGAGAGGATCCATGTGCTGATTCCTTTGTGTGATTGCTTTTGGTGACTTTGAGGAGGATCCATATGCTGATTCTTTTGTGTGATTGCCTTCAGTGACTCTTTGAGGATCCATGTGCTGATTCCTTTGATTGCTTTTGGTGATTCGAGGAGGATCCATGCTCTGATTCCTTTGTGTGATTGCTTTTGGTGGCTCTCTGAGGAGTATCCATGTGCTGATTCCTTTGTGTAATTGCCTTCAGTGACTCTTTAGGATCCATGTGCTGATTCCTTTGTGTGATTGCTTTTGGTGACTCTCTGAGGGTCCATCTGGGCTGCCTGAGCCGTGTGTCTGTTACCTGCACTCTCTTAGGGGCTGTGCACCACCTGTGTGGTTCGTTTGTCTCCTTTCCTGCTTGGTGCCCTGTCCTGTGCCCAGGCCCCTCTCATCCTTCCTCTCCCTATGGGCATGTGCCAGCTGCTGCCCTGGCATCCTTCTGGTTTGTGCCAGAATTGTCCTTTGGGGACAATGCTCTCAGCAGAGGCGACACTGGGCTGTCTGAGGAGAGCAGTGCCCACAGCCATGGGTAGGACAGGGTGCTGGGAGGGTCATGGGGGTCTGGACAAAGCCCTGCATGCCAACCTAGTCCAGAGCCTGCTCTCTGGGAAGAAGCTGGGGAGTTACAATAATATTTCTGGGGATCAGGCACTGGGGAGCTGCCCTACAAGGCCCAGTTGCTGTGGCTGTTACAGTCATGTTGTTATTTCATGAGATGAGGAAAGCCCATCTTGCAGCTCCTTTTTTCATGTGTTCATTTTGAAAAGCTTTTCCAGAACCTAATGACTAGACACCTTTTGATTTTCAGCTTTTTCCTGTCTGGTTTTGTTGCTCTGGCTGTGTTCTCTCAGCTCAGTTTCTGCCCCTTGTACATCCATGGAAAGCAGTCACATCCTTTGAGTTTCTAGGGAGGCAGTTTTAAATCCTAATTTTGTAGGAAAGGCTCTCTGTCCTTTCACATTTCTCTGTATCTGGGGTCACTTTTAATGCCTTAGAGCTGGCTACCATGCCCTTCTCAGCATGGGCAGCCAGTGGGGCAGTGACCAGCGACAGGTCCTGTCAGCCATCAAATCCTGCCCGTGGTGTCTGTGTCAGGGCTTTGGGTGACAGATGAGGGCAGGTGCCTCAGTGACACAGCAGCAGCTGCTCCTGCACGTGCCTGTGTCATGGCACTGCTGCTGGAATTGCTGGTTTTGCCTCTCCCACGTGGAGACGTTTGGCTGTGGCAGGTGGAACATCACCCCTGGCCCGTGTGAGCCCCTGGAGCACCGTGTCAGGGAATGGGGGAATGGGGCAGGGGAGCTGAGCAGGAAGGGAGCTGGGGTCAGTGGGGATTCCCAGGTGTCTGTGCCCCTTTGCCAGGTCAGAGGGAGCTGGGAGCCCCCGAGGTGCTCTGGGGTACAGGTGGCAGCAGGACAGGGCTCGCAGGGCTCGGCCCTGACGCCAGCTTTGTTCCAGATCAATGGGGTAGACATGACAGAAGCCAGGCATGATCAGGCCGTAGCGCTGCTTACCGCGGCCTCCCCCACCATCGTGCTGCTGGTGGAGAGAGAGGCCAGGGCAGAGGAGCAGNGCTGTGCCAGTTTGCTCCCATGACCATGGCCTTCAACACTTGCAGGGATCCAGGGACAGCCACAGCTGCTCTGTGCCAGGGCCAAACCACCCTCAAAGGGAACAATTCCTTATTCCCAATGTCCCATCCAGCCTGGCCTCAGGCACTGCCAGGGGTCCAGGAGCAGCCACAGCTGCTCTGAGCAAGGGCTCCATGCCCTACTGGGCTGGGGACACAGTCAATCTGGGCCCTGGGACCCAGATCCTCATCCCCGGGCATGCAGCAGGGCAGCCTGGCCATGGGCTGCTGGGCTGGGTGCTCTAAAGTCAGAGGATCACGGAATTCTGGAATGGTTTGCATTTGGAGGGACCTTAAACCTCACCTTGTGGTGGGCAGGTTCCGCTGTGCCTGTTTGCTCCAAGTCCTGCCCACCATGGCCTTCAACATTTGCAGGGATGCAGGGGCAGCCACAGCTGCTCTGGGCACAGTGTGCCAGGGCCAAACCACCCTCAAAGGGAACAATTTCTCATTCCCAATGTCCCATCTAGCCTGGCTTCAGGCACTGCCAGGGATCCACAGCTGCTCTGGGCTCCCCGTGCCAGGGCCAAACCACCCTGCCAGGGAACAATTCCTGCCCAATGTCCCATCCAGCCTGGCCTTAGGCACAGATCTAGGGGCAGCCACAGCTGCTCTGGGCACCCTGTGCCAGGGCCTCACACCCTCACAGGGCAATATTCCTGCCCAGTATCCCATCCGTCCCTGCCCTCTGGCAGTGGGAAGCCATTCCCCTTGTGCTGTCACTCCAGGCCCGTGTCCAAGTCCCTCCCTGTCTTTTTTATAGGAGAGTGGCTGTGGCTCTGAATCCGTGCCAGTGACATCCAATCCCACTGCTGCCCTCCTGGCACAGATTCCAGGCCCTGGGCCCCCGGAGGATTTGCTGCCAGGGGCTCTGGGAGCAGAGGGTTTGTGTGGAGGGTCAGGGCAGGGGGGAGCACTGAGAGCTGCCTGGGTCTGGGGACAGCCCGGGCTGCTGTGACCCTGTGCCTGTGCTGCAGGGCATCTTCATCTCCCGGATTGCAGACGGTGGGGCCGCGCACCGGGACGGGATCCTGCGCGTCGGGGACAGAGTCATCTCGGTGAGTGCCGGGCAGGGGCTGCTCCTCTGCCCCTGGAGCTGCACTTTGGGCTCCTTTCTTCAGCTCTGAGCCTGCTGGGAGAGCGGTTAATGTGGGTGGGTCTGCCCTGTCTGGGGCTGGGTGCAGTTACACCTGCCCTTTCCCCAAGGGATGGCATGGATGGAGGGGACACAGCAGCACTGCCCAGCCTGGGGGGCTCTGCC